GGGTAAACTGTGGTCAATATCATGAGACAAAGTGTATGTGAACTGCTGGATGGAAAGTGAATTTGCTCTGTAAATCTTCACCCAAATCACAATTTAAAAAAAAAAAAACACTTACTCATGGGACCACAGCAAAGATTAAGTGAGTTAATACATATGCAGTCCCTAACAGTATCTGGCACATAAGAAAAACTCAAATATTATTATTACAAAATTAGCACACATGATGCTTTACTGAAACTTCCAAAGATATATAACTGATTATGTAACTGAGTAAAGTCAATAATAAAAATACAGATCAAGAAATATGATAAAAGGTATTAGCGTTTTCCTCTAGTTTTAGTTATATGAACAGAGTTATCTATAAAACTATACTGATTTGGGTGAAGGGAAGGGCAATGTACCAAAAATAAATAAATACATAAATAAAACTATAAAATGGATTTTCTCTAGTACAGTTAGGAATATATATTAACGGCATATAAATGACTCAAGTAATCTGACTAAAATCACAGTTACTTGAGTTTACTTACGTTTCATATCCATATTCCGGGTTTTATAAACAAAATATGTATAAATTTGTGTTGTGCGTATTAGAATCTGGTCTCCACTATAACGTATTGAGCGATACCACCACGAACCCTAAAACACAAATAAAATTTAAAAAGTAACACAGGAAAACTAACAGATTTTAAATTTGATTCAGAACATTTATGGTCAAATTTTCCAATTATTTATAAACCTACAAAAACATCTGAGCTATAAAACAATGCAACTTTACCACGTATTTCAAAGGATTTGTTGTTGTTGTTAGGTGCCGTTGAGTCATTTCCGACTCATAGTGACCCTATGCACAGCAGAACAAAATACCTCCTGATCCCGCGCCAGTTCCATGATCCTTGCTATACTTGAGCCCATCATCGCAGCCACTGTGTCAATCCATCTCGTTGAAGGCCTCCCCCTCTTTTGCCGACCCTCCACCCTACCAAGCATGACATCCTTCTCCAGGGAATGGTCCCTTCTTACAACATGACCAAAATAGGTGAGACGAAGTCTGGCCATTCTTGCTTCCAAGGAGCATTCTGGCTGCACTTCCTCCAGGACAGATCTGTTAGTTCTTTTAGCAGTCCATGGTACTTTCAGCATTCTCCGCCAGCACCACAACTCAAAAGCATCAACTCTTCTTCGGTCTTCCTTATTCACTGTCCAGCTCTCACATGCATACAAGGTGATTGAAAATATCATGGCTTGTCTGAAGTGCACTTCAGTCCTCAAGGAGACATCCTTGCTCCTCAGCACTTGAAAGAGGTCCTTTGCAGCTGACCTGCCCCATGCTATACATCATCTGATGTCCTGAGCTGCTTCCATTGGAGTCGACTGTAGAACCAAGCAATGTGAATTCTTTAATAACCTCAATCTTTTTTCCATTTATTGGGATGCTGCTTATTGGTACACTTGTGAGGATTATTGTTTTCTTTATATTGAGATATAATCCATACTGCAGATTGTATTCTTCAATATTCATCAGTAAGTGCCTCAAGCCATCCTCACTTTTAGCAAGCAAAGTTGTATCGTCAGCGTATCACAGGTTGTTAATGATTCTTCCCCCAATCCTGATGCCATGTTTTTCTTCATATAGTCCAGCTTCTCAGCTTATTTGCTCAGCATATAGATTGAATAAGTATGGGAAAAGGATATAACCCTGACAGACTCCCTTCTTGATTTTTAAACCATACAGTGTCCCCTTGTTCTGTTCAAATGACAGCCTCCTGGTCAATGTACAGGTTCCTCATGAGAACAATCAAGTGTTTGAGACTTCCCATTCTTCTCAAAGTTATCCACAATTTGTCATGATCCACACAATCAAATGCTTTTGCACAGTCAATAAAACACAAGTAAAATATCTTTCTGGTATTCTTTGCCTTGAGCTGAGAACCATCGGACAGCAGCAATGATATCCCTTGTTCCACATCCTCTCCTGAATCCAGCTGCACCTCTGGAAGTTGTCTGTCAATATACTGCTGCAAACATTTTTTAATTATCTTCAGTAAGATCTTATTTACGTGCAATATTAATGATATTGTTTGATAATTTCCACATTCTGTGAGATCACCTTTCTTTGGAATGGCTACAAATATGGATCTCTTCCAGTCAGTTGGCCAGGTAGCTGTCTTCCAAATCTCTTGGCATAACTGAGTGAGTGCCTCCAGTGGGGCATCCGTTTGTTGAAACAGATAGTCTGTCACTTCCTGGAGCCTTGTTCTTCGCCAATTCCTTCAGTGCAGCTTCAACTTCCTCCTTCAATACCACTGGTTCTAGATCGTATGCCATCTCCTGAAATGGATGAAGATCAACCAGTTCTTTTTCGTACAGTGACTCTGTGTATTCTTTCCATCTTCTTTTGATGTTTCCTACATCATTCAATATTTTGCCCATAGAATCTCTCAATATTGCAACTCGAGGCTTAAACTGTTCCTCCATTCTTTCAGCTTGAGAAATGCCAAGCGTGTTCTTCCCTTTTGGTTTGCTAACTCCAAATGTTTGCACATTTCATTATAGTAACTGGCTTTGTCTGCTCGAGCTGCTCTTTGAAATCTTTGGTTCAGCTCTTTTATCTTGTCATTTCTTCCATTTGCTTTAGCTACTCTTCGCTCAAGGGCAAGTTTCAGAATCTCTTAAAAGGATTTACTTAGCAAATATTTATACTATCTGTAGCCTAAACACCAAAGTTTCAGCCAGAAATTGAAGACAAAATGGGAATAAGTAAAAAGTTAGTTCCTGACATATAGCATGTTTTCAATAAATATTTGATAAATAAATGCAGTAGCAATTGTATAGTTGGCAGGTTATTTTCATTCACATTATGTACTTCATTTGGGCCCTCACACAAAATGTGTATAAAATGTTAAATGGAAAACTATCTTGCTGTGTAAAATTTTATCCAAACTACTATAAAAAATTAAATAAAACTAAAGAGGTCTTTTGCAGCAGATCTGTGCAATGCAGTATGTCATTTGATTTTTTGACTGCTGCTTCTTCCATGGGTGTTGATTGTGGATACAAATAAAATGAAATACTTGACAACTTCAATCTTTTCTCCATTTATCTTGATGTTACTTACTGGTTCAGTTGTAAGAAATTTTTTTTATGTTGAGGCATAATCTATACTGAAGGCTGACTATAGTTTTTGATCTTATTAGAAAGTGCTTCAAGTCTTCTTCACTTTCAGCAAGCAAGGTTGTTAATAAGTCTTCCTCTAATCCTGATGCAGCATTCTTCTTCATATAGTCTAGCTTTTTAAATTATATGTTCAGCAATCAGACTGAATAAGTATGGTGAAATACAACCCCAATGCACACCTTTCTTGATTTTAAGTCATGCAGTATCCTTCTGTTCTGTTGAAAGACTGCCTCATGGTCCACATATAAGTTCCACATCAGCACAATTAAGTGTTCCAGAATTCCCATTCTTTGCAATGTTACCCACAATTTGTTAAGATCCATAGAATTGAATGCCTTTGCAGAGCCCATAAAAAACATAGGAAAACACCTTTCTGGTATTCTCTGCTGTCAGGCAAAACCAATGTGACACTGGCACATTGGTTCATGTCCTCTTCAAAATCAACCTTGAATTTCTGGCAGTAAGCTGTCAATGTAGCATCTATTTATAATAATGCACATATTATACTCTTTTTTTTCTTTTTTGCAAACAGTGCAAGCTCCCTCACGTGTTAATTTCCTATGCATGCACACATTATTTATGTGGGCATATTACGGGCAAAAATACAGTACTTCTGCAGCCATTTTTGAAGAATCTTCAAGATAATTTTACTTGCATGTGATATTAATCATACTGTTCCACAATTTCTGCATTCCACTTGGAATGAGCACCAATATGGCTCTCTTTCAGTCGCCCGGCCAGGTAGCCGTCTTCCAAATTTCTTGGCTTAGACGAGTAACATTTGCAGTGCTATATCTGTTAACAACATCTCAATTGGTATTCCACCAGTTCTTGTAGCCTTATTTTTCGCCAGTTCCTTGAGTGCAGCATGGAATTCTTTAATACTAGTACTTCTTGATCATATGCTATCTCCAGAAATAGCTGAGTATTTTTGGTACAGTAACCCTGTGTATTCCTTCCATCTTCTTTTCATCTTCCTGCATTGTTCAACATTTTGTCCATTGAATCCTTCAGTATTGCAATTCAAGGCTTGCATTTTTCTTCAGTCCTTTCAGCATGAGAAATTCCATACGTATTCTTCCATTTTGGTTTTCTAATGCCATGTCTTCGCATTTTCATTATAATACTGTCTTCTCAAGCCAACCTTTGAAAACTTCTGTTTCCTTATTTTTTCTGCTCACTTTAGCTACTTTACGTTCAAAAGCAAGTGTCAGATTCTCCTCCTACATCCATTTTGGTCTTTTGGTTCTTTTTAATGACCCTCTGCTTCTTCTAGGTGTCATCCCACAACTCACCTGGTCTTCAGTAATTAGTGTTCAATGTGTCAAATCTATTCTTGAGATGGTCTCTAAAATTCAGGGATATACTCAAGTCCATACTTTGGCTCTCATGGACTTGTTTAAATTTTCTTCTGCTTCAACTTGATATTACATGCGAGCAATGGATGGTCTATCCACAGTCAACCCGTCCTTGTTCCGAGGGATGATGTTGAACTGAGCATCCCCCTTATTTCTTTCCACAGATGTAGTCAATTAGAATCCTATCTATTTCATTTGGTGAAATTTGTATGTGTAGTTGCCATTTACGTTGTTAAAAAAAAGTATTTCCAATAAATAAGTCGTTAGCCTTGCAAAATTCTATCATGCAATGTCCAGTGTCATTTCTACCACCAAAGTCATATTTTCCAACTACTCATCCAATATTATTTGTTTCCAACTTTCACATTCCAATTGTCAATGCATCTTGATTGCATGTTTCATCAATTACAGACTGCAGAACTATGTAAAAATGTTCAATTTCTTTACCTTTGGCATCAGTGGCAGGTGCATTAATTCAAATAATAGTCATATTAACTGGTCATCTTTGTAGGAATATGGTATTACCCTATCCATACAATAAATATATTGTGTTTCGGGATAGATCTTAAAATGTTCTTTTTGATGATGAATGTGACACCATACCGCTTCAATTTGTCATTCCTGGAATATTAGATCATATTACTGTGTGATTCAAAATGACCAATACTACTCCATTTCAGCTCACTACCTAGGGTATCTATCTTCAAGCATTCCATTTCAATTTTCACAACATCCAATTTTCCTTGATTCCTACTTTGCACATTCCACGTTACAATTATTAATGGATATTGTTTCTCATTTTGTCACACATCAACATATGAAGGTCCCAAAAGCTTTGCTCCAACCACATCATTAAAGTCAACTATACTTTGAAGAGGCAGCTCTTCCCCAGTGCCTTCCAACCTGAGGTACTCATTTTCTAGTACCACATCAGACAATGTTCATTGCTATCTATAAGGTTTGCCCTGGACAATATTTTTAAAAGTAAACTGCCAGGTCTTTCTTCCTAGCCTGTCTTAGTTTGATAGCTCCACTGAAACTTGTCCACCATGGATGGTATTTGAAATACCAGTAGCACAGTTTCCAGTCAATGGTTAACATGGATTATTTTCTGCATGAAAGGGGTGTGGGCGGCATCCTCTGATCTCCTTTAACTTGACAAGGAGGAGACAGAATCACCATAAACAGCATTAGTGCAAGGGTGGTTCCTATGAGGCAGAAATTAAACATGTCAGCACTCTCCAACCTTTTTACCAATTCTGACACCAACTGTCCCTCCCATGGCACTCTCTGCTGGGTTCAGTAATTTGTTGCAATGGCCACACAGAACTGACAGACAATAATCACAATTATGGGGTTTACTGGGGAAGTAATAAGGAGCTCTGGTGATGTAGTGCCTAGGGCAGAAGGTTGGTGATTCAAACCTACCAGCTGCATGGAAGGAAGATGGGGCAATCTACTTCCGTAAAGATTTATTGCCTTAGAAACCCAGTGGGGTCACTATGAATCAGAATCGACTCGAGGGCAGTGAGTCTGGTACACTCCACTACACCAGCAAGTCTCCTGCTCAAAAGCACTCAGCTTTCTCACTCTGTAGGCTGTAAAGTCTACCACTCTGTCTCCTGCCAGTCTCTTGGTTCTGCTGCCTCTGCTGCCACTGCCTCTCTGCCATTAGCACAGCCCAGGGATCTCGGGTCCAAGGATACAGTCTACTAGAGGTTCTTCTCTGTCTTGCTGGTAATGAGATCCCCCTTTCTGCTTCTGGGAAAGCTCACTGAAAGCATAGTTGCTGTTGTAGTTAGTTGCTGTCGAGTCATCTCCAACTCATAGTGAACCTATGTACAACAGAACGAAACACATCCTGATCCTGTGCCAGCCTCACAACACTTGTTGTACCAGAGCCCACTGTTACAGCCAGTATATGTCATTCCATATTGTTAACGGCCTTCACCCTTTCTGTCGAGCCTCCACTCTACCAAGCACAGTATCATTCTCCAGGGCATGGTCCCTTTTAACAACATAGCCAAAGTAGGTGAGACGAAGTCTGGCCATTCTCGCTTCCCAGGAGCATTCCAGCTGCATCCCTTCCAGGACAGATCTGTTAGTTCTTCTGGCAGTCCATGGTACTTTCCGTATTCTTCACCAACACCACAATTCAACTCTTCTTCCTTCTTCCTTATCCACTAGCCAACGTTCACATGCATATGAGGTGAATGAAAATACCAGGGCTTGGGTTAGGTGCACTGTAGTCTTCAAAGAGACATCTTTGCTCTTCAGCACTTTAAAGAGATCTTTTGCAGCAGATTTGCCCAGTGCAAAACATCATCTGATTTTCTGACTGCTGCTTCCATTGGTGCTGATTCTGGATGTAAATAACATGAAATCTTTGACGTCAAACTTTTCTCCATTTACTGTGATGATGCTCATTGGTCCAGTTGTGAGGATTTTCATTTATGTTGAGGTGTAATCCATACTACACACTGTAGTCTTTAATCTTCATCAGTAAGCGCTTCAAGTCATCCTCACTTCCAGCAAGCAGGGTAATTATGTCTGCATATCGCAAGCTGTTAATGAGTCTTCCTCCAATCCTGATGCCACATTCGTCATATAATCCAGCTTCTCAGATTATTGCTCAGCATACAGAATGAACAAGTATGATCAAAGGATACAACCCTGACGTATTCCCTTCCTGATTTTAAACCATGCAGTATCCCCTTGTTCTGTTCGGACAACAGGTTCCTCGTGAGCACAATTAAGTGTTCTGGAATTCTCATTCTTCTCAGTGCTATCCACAATTTGTTATGATCCACACAACTGAATGCCTCTGCACAGTCAATAAAACACAAGCAAACATCTTTCTGGTATTCTTTGATTTTAGCCATGATCCATCTGACATCAGCTGTGATATCCCTCACTCTAGGTCCCCTTCTGAATCCAGCTTGCATTTCTGGAACCTCTCTGTCAGTACAATGCCGCAACCATTTTTTAGTTATTTTCAGTAAGATTCTACTTGGTGTGATATCAATGATATTGTTCAGTAATTTCCACATTCTGTGAGATCACCTTTCTTTGGAACGGGTACAAACAGGGATCACTTCCAGTCAGCTGGCCTGGTGGCTGTCTTCCAAAGCTCTTGGCATAGCCAAGTGAGTGCCTCCAGTGGGGCATCCGTTTGTTGAAACATCTTATTGGGTACCCCATCAACTCCCACAGCCTTGTTTTTCGTCATTTCCTTCAGTGCAGCTTCAACTTCTTCCTTCAGTACCATTGGTTCTTGATCATATGCTACCCCCTGAAATGGATGATTATCTACCAATTCTTTCTGGTATAGTGACTGTATATTTCATCCATCTTCTTTTCATGTTTCCTGCATCATTCAACATATTGCCCATGGAATCTTTCAATATTGCATTTTAAGGCTTAAATTTTTTCTTCAGTTCTTTCAGCTTGAGAAATGCTGAACGTGTTCTTTCCTTTTGGTTTTCTAACTCCAGGTCTTTGCACATTTCATTGTATCACCTGACTTTGTCTTCCTGAGCTGCCGTTGAAGTGTTCTGTTCGGCTCTTTTTACTGTTGATTCTTCCACTTGCTTTAGCTACTCTCCATTCAACAGCAAGTTTCAGAGTCTTTTCTGACATCCATTTTGGTCTTTTCTTCCTTTCCTGTCTTTTAAGGACCTTTTGCTTTCTTCATGGATGACATTCTTGATGTCATCCCATAATAAGTCTGGTTTTCGGTCACTGGTGTTCAATGCATCAAATCTATTCTTTAGATGGTCTCTAAATTCAGGAGGGATATGTAATCAAGGTCATATTTTGGCTCTTGTGGACTTCTAATTGTTGTTAGCTTTGACTTGAACTTGCATATGAGCAGTTGATGGTCTGTTCCACAATCAGCTCCTGGCCTTGTTTTGGCTGAAGATATCAAGCTTCTCCATCGCCTTTGCCACAGATGTGGTCAACCTGATTCCCAACTCTGTCGGGGCAAAGTCCACGTGTATAGCCACCAGTTGCGTTGTTGAAAAAAGGTATTTGCAATGAGTAAGTCATTGGTCTTGCAAAATTCTATCATGCAATCTCCAGCGTCATTTCTAACCCAAGGCCCTACTTTCCAACTACTGGTGATTCTTGTTTCTAACTCTTGCACTGCAAGTACCAGTAAAAATCAACACATCTTGACTGAATGTTTAGTCAATTTCAGACTGAGGAAGTTGGTACAAATCTTCTATTTTCTCATCTTTGGCTCTGGTGGTTGGTGCATCTATTTGAATAATAATAGTATTAACTGGTCTTCCATGTAGACATACAGATATTATCCTATCACTGACAGCATTGTATTTCAGGACAGATCTTGAAACATGCTCTGTGATGATGAATGCCACACCATTCCTCTTTAATTTGTCATTGCCAGCCTAGTAGATGATTGTCTGATTCAAAATGGCCAAAACCAGTCCATTTCAGCTCACTAATGCATAGGAAGGAGCTCTGATAGCATAGTGCCTAAAGCACTTGACTGCTAACCAGAAGGCTGGTGGTTCAAACTCACCAACCACTCCTCAGAAGGAAGGTTGGGCAATCCTACTTCTATAGTGATACTGCCTCAGAAACCCAAGGAGGGGTCGCTATGAGTCGGGGCCGACTCGACGGCACATAACAACAACAATGCCTAGGATATCAATCTTTATGTGTTCCATTTCATTTCTGACAACTTCCAATTTTCCTAGATTCAGACTTTATATATTCCATGTTCTGATTATTCATGGATGTTTGCAGCTGTTTCTCCCTATTTTGAGTCATGTCATATCAGCAAATGGAGGTCCCGAAAGCTTTGCTCCATCCAGGTCATTAAGGTCAACTCTACTTTGAGGAGGCAGCTCTTCCCCAATGTTATTTTTAGTCCCTTCCAACCTGAGGGGTTCACCTTCTGACACTGTATCAGACAATATTTCAGGGCTATTTATAAGGTTCTAGTAATAAATCAGACAATGTTTGACTGCTATTCATAAGATTTTCACTGGGCAATTCTTTGAGAAGTGGATGGCCCCTTCCTTCTTCCTAGTCTGTCTTAGTCTGAAAGCTCTACTGAAACCTATCTACCATGGGTGACCCTGCTGGTATTTGAAATATTGGTGTCATAGACTCCAGCCTCATAGCAACATGCAAGCCACCACAGTACAACAAACTGACAGGCAAGAGGTGACTGAAGCACAGGGAGATGGCAAAACCAACCAATCCCCACATCAGAGTTCCATATACCTTATTTGTATGGTCTCAACCACACAAGGGCACAATATACCTTAATTCATATTATTAACAAGCTATCCAGTCCCCTTGTTGGGCCCCAAGCACCTTACATTTGCATAGTCCCATCTAGTCATCTGGTGGGAGTCACAAAGACCGTGGCTAGAAGAGCCAAACCAAGTAATCACTGCACCACATATTCTACTGCAAATTTCAATCTTATAGGGAAACTCTAAAATACACCAACTATTCCCTTTCCAAAAATGTTAATAAAAAGAGTTAGAACTTACCACAACAACTGGAAGTATAACCATAAATGCCAACCCATAAACAAGTAACACCTAGAATAGAAAGGAAGAGAAAAAAAAGTATGGCTTTCATCATGTGAATTATAACAACATTTATAAACATTTTCAGGCATACAACGTAGGAGGCAGTATTAAAAGCACTCCTCATGTATTATGTTGTTTAATCCTTAAACCTTATGAGGAAGATACTATTATTATTTGACTTCTGTAGACAAGGAATAAATAAAGGTTATATAGCTTGTCCCAGGTCACAAGGCAGTAAGTGGTGGAGCCTGGATTTGAACCTAGGCATTCCAATCCTAAAATCCATGCTGTTATCCACTATAATCAATTATCATCCGACTCAATGGCAAAGAATAACAACAATACTCTATCAATAATCACAACAAAACACAGTTTTATAAATTACGTTTCCCTTCTAGTTACGTCTAGATCCATACCCTGGTAGGAGTCAATGCCTTGGAAATAAATGATAAGAAGCTCTTGGCTAAAATGATTCCTTTGTCTAAATATCAGGAGGCACTTTATGAGATTCTGTTTGCTGGTAATTCTGTCTATTGAGCTCTTATTTTCCTCTTACTTCTTGATTCCAACTCTGGTAGCTAACTATCTTTGTCTTATTGTCTATTACTCCTACAGAATAATCCTAAACATGATAAACATGCTTATATGCAGTAACTATACACTCTTGAACATAGTAAATTTTAACCTGCCATAAAATAAGATTTAACAGCCATTTTCAAAACAAATTACAATCAGCTTGCATGTATCACTTTTGTTTAATTGCCTCCTAGATAATTATTTTCCAGAAAGATAAAAGTAGGAAATTATTTATTCCTAAATAATAGGTCAAGATAATCCCTGATGTTTTAGAGTTGCAGAGTCTATTCCTGATTGAAATATGGTACCTTACTATATATTCCATATGAAGTACCATATGGAACACATACCATTTAATCTGTGGTTGTTGTTTTGTATGCCATCAAGTCGGACCTGACTCACAGTGACCCCTCCTTCTGTTTCCGAGGCATTATCGCTAGGAAAGTAGGTTGCCCAACCTTCCTTCTGAGGAGTGGCTGGTGGGTTTGAACTGCCAGCCTTCTGGTTAGCAGTCAAGTGCCTTAGGCACTACACTATCTAGCATACACTAAAATTAATTTAGCCTGGGTAAAGGTAGAAAAATTTGAATCTTCCAAACGAATAATCCTTAGAATAAACGCAAGAATCATAAAAAACCAGTAGTTCCTCAAACCATGTCCATCAACTGAAGAATGGATAACCAAAATATGGTACATGCACACAATGGAACACTATGCAACCCTAAAGAATAATGCAGAATTTGTAAAACACCACATAACATTATACTGACTGAAATAAGTCAATCACAGAAGGACAATATTGTATTAGTCCATTATTGTAAAAAGTCAAGGAAAGGTTTATATATGGAAGAAAATTTTCTTTGTTAGTTACCGGGGTGGGAGGGGAGGAGAGGGAACACTGTTAGATAGGTAGAGATAAGTATTGATTTGGGTGAAGAGAAGGGCAATGTACCAAACATGAGTGATCAACATGGTAGCACTGAAGAAGAAGAAGACATAGAGAGGTCCATGAGAGGTGCAGACAACAAAGATGATCCCTTTTGCACATACAGTACTGCGATGTCAGTGAAGGCAAACATGGGTATACAGGTGGATAGATTGGTGGACAGCCTGAACTATTATGTATGTCTATACAGGGAGAAGTGTACCCAAGAACAAGCACAGAGCTGGCAAACAATGGTTCTACAAGTGTATTTGTATGTTCTGCAAGAATTCCCAGGTGTATAGTACAGCTAACAATGGATAAGGTTGTAGTCACTTCTTGGCCACAGCCAGCTACCCAGAGGGAGCACGTAGTTGAACCTGTGGGCTCGGGACCATAGTCGCAGGGGACATCAATCTCAATTGGCATAACATACTACACAAAACATTGTTCCACATCCTACTTTGGCCAGTTGTTACTGGGGGATCTTAAAACCTTGCAAGTAGCCATCTAGATGCAACAATGGGTCTCTCCTCATCCAGAGCAAAGAAAAATAAAGAAAACCAAAGATTCATGGAAACAATTAGTCCTAGCGACTGGTACACCATGCAATCCACAGCCTACACTATTGTGAGACTGGAAGAACTAGATGGTGCCCAGCTACCGCTGTCAACCACTTGGAGGGGGATCTATGCAGGAGGTCCTGGATAGAGAGGGAGAACAATGTAGAACAAAACTCAAAGACATTTGGGGAAAAAAAGGGGGGGCGAGGGCCAGGTTTGCTGGTCTGATAAAGCCTGGTAGAACCACTAATACTAACGCTCCCAGCTGCCCTTCAGGTCGGGAATTGAACCCACACCTGTGGCTTCCAGACAAACAAGACAGGCATATGAGCTGAACATTTACCTGAGGTAGATACACTCCTTGGAGAGAACAATCATGGGAGAAAGAAGGGCTGTTAATGCACAGGGAGACAGCTCAGGGGGCAAGAGTGCATGGAGGGATGGACACAGGGAAGAGGTGGCGATCGGGAGGAAGTGGGAGGGGAGTTGTTGCATTGGGGTAAATTGTAGTCAATGTCATGAGACAAAGTGTATGTGAACTGCTGTATGGAAAGTGAAATTTGCTCTGTAAACTTTCACCCAAATCACAATAATTAATTAATAAATAATGAATGAATGAATAAAAACCAGTAGTTCCTCAAACCAACAGTAGGACTCAGTCTGAAGCTCCTTCTGTAAGAAGGGAAATCACCCTAACTTCAATGTTTTAAAACTTTTAGAACATATGATCCCAAATCAGCATCCTAATAATGGAAAACAATTCCTTTTTTCATTACTTAAAAACTGCCTTCACTGTTTAAGCCAGAAACCAGAATTTTAAAGGCCACTACATTTTCTGAGAAAGCAAGGGAGACCATGTTGTTGTTGTTGGTATATGCCATCAAGTCGGACCTGACTCATAGCCACCCCTCCTTGGGTTTCCGAGGAGGTATCACTACAGAAGTAGACTGCCCAGAGCTCCTAAGGGAGACCATAGGTGATTTTTTGTTATGTGTGTGTGTGTGTGTGTGTATGTCTATATTCTCATGTATTTTCCAAATTTTGTTCATTAAGTATGTATTGTATTTTAAATAAATAGTTAAATTTTAAAACAGTATTCACTATTCTCTTTGCAATACTAAAACATACCTTATATAACAAATTGTATCAAATATAGTATGTCTTATTTAAATAAACTCACCAAAATTGAATTTTTCTGGTCAACTATCCAAGCTGGCAGTGCAATTCCAAAGCTGGTGGCTGAAATAGGAAGAATATCATAGTTTCTAAAGAAACCACTTTCAATTTTACTGATGTATATCCCAAAATTTTGCCACCATAAAAAACTCTGAGCAAGATTACCTTTTGTATGTGTGTTCTTATAACACAAAAGTTAAGAAATACAGGTTATTATCTCAATCTTCAAATTTTTCAAAAATAAAAAATTTTATTTAAGTACACCGGTTATTTTTCCCTAGAAACTCTGAAATTCTTGTATGTGTCCTGAGTTTATATAAATAAAAACTACAAGTACATGAGAAAATGTTTGAATTCACTAAAGAAAAATGGATTTTTTTCACTCAAATTTTATAAACTACAAACTGGAAAGGATGAGTAACAAGGGCGACTACACTTCTCTTTGAATCAACTTTAGTTCTATCTTTCAAACCAGTCTCTGGAAAGAAAAATGAAAAGAAACTCATTTTACTTATCTGCTTAATACCTAATGGCTTTAATTTTTCTATTCATAAACTAAGAAAATCAAAATATTCCTCTTAATATATTACATTTTTATTAATATATACCATATCAACAGTACTTTTTAATTATTATTTAACACACACCTTGAGGGCCATCTGGATTTCCAAATTCTTCCCAATTTTTCCGGGACTCTTCATCAGTTAAACTAGCATCAATGAAAAAGTTCCAAAATTAGAAAGATACAGCTGAAAATTAATATTTATACATACAAATTCAACTAACCAAGCAATTTTTTTTATTACTATTACTGTAACTTGGGTGAAAGGTTACAGAGAAAATTGGTTTTCCACTCAATGATACATACAGTGTTTTGTGACAGTGACTTCAATCCTTGCAATGTTAACAGCACTCTTCCCACTTCTTCCCTGTGTTTACCATTTCCCTTGTCCTTCTTTCTTAACCCTTCCTGCCTTCTAAGCTTTATCCCTGGGCAAATGCTGTCCTTTTGATCTTGTATGGTTGATTGTTCTATGTTGTTGTTGTTGTTATTTGCCGTCAAGTCGGCCCGACTCATAGCGACCCCTCCTTGGGTTTCCGAGGCAGTATCACTACAGAAGTAGGATTGCCCAACCTTCCGATTGTTCTATGTTGTTGTTGTTGTTGTTATGTGCCGTTGAGTCGGCCCTCCTTGGGTTTCCGAGGCAGTATCACTACGGAAGTAGGATTGCCCAACCTTCCTTCCGAGGAGTGGCTGGTGGGTTTGAACCGCCAGCCTTCTGGTTAGCAGTCAAGTGCCTTAGGCACTATGCTATCAGAGCTCCCCGATTGTTCTATAGGAGTGTGTATCTCCCTGGTATTATCGTTCCCCTTATAGGCCTGTCTATCATTTGGCTGACCAGGGTGAGTTCAGTTCCAGCCTGAAGGGTGTTCTAAAGGCCACAGTCCTAAGGGTTCCAACAATCTCTATCACAGCAATAAGCCTGGTCATTTAAATGATTCTGAATTTTGTCCATATTTTCTTCCCACTCTATCTGGGACTTCAGATTGTGATCCCTTTCAGAGCAGTTAGCAGTAGCACCCAGGCACCATCTAGTTCTTCTGGTCTCAAGGTCATGGAGGCTGGGGCAACTCAATTCTTAAAAGATGTTAATTTCAGGGAACCGAGAAAGCCTCTCTGATACTAGGGATGAAAATGAGGGGGCAGGGAAGGGTGAGCATGAAATTCTGCATTAACAGAAAATGTTAACTACTGAGCACTGATAGAAATTTCCGGTTGGACCATGGGTTCTCAAGTTTAACCAGTGCAAGCCAGAAGATGAAACTTTAAATGTCACTGTGTTTTCTGAGAAAGCAAGGGGCAGTATAAACTTGCTGCTAACAAGTCAAATCTGACTCACAGTGACCCCAATAGGACAGAGTAGAACTGCTCCATAGTTTCCAAGGCAGTATATCTTTACAGAAGTAGAATGCTTCATCTCTCTCGCAGGAAGCAGATGGTGTGTTCGAACTACCAACTTTCGATTAGCAGTCGGACACTTTAACCACCACACTACCAGAGCTCTTAGGGGCATAGGTTATTTCCTTTTTTTTCTTTATATCTCGTGTATTTTCTAAATTTTTTTTCAATGCATAAGGATTATACTTTAATAATGATAAATACTTAATTTTTAAAAAATATTAGCCTAATAAATAATGGCAGCTCTATCCAAAACACTTCCACTACATTCTCAAAGAACAAATGAACACCTGTAAGACGCCATGGCTGTAAAACAGGTCATTTGCATCATGTGGCGATCATAATTTCCCCTAAGCCAACCCACTAAAGTGACAGCTTCCTAATGCAGGCAATATGAAAGCGACAGAGTGATTTTTAAACAGCTAAATATAAATGTAACACCAGACATAAGCAATAGCTCAAGTCACAGAAACAGAGTAGTCTTATTCCAGGTTCCAGTGCAGATGTTAAAAAACATTAGAAGAAAAACTTAATTCCTTCTAAAACTTTACTATGTAGTTAAGGAGACAGGGGAGGCACACACGTAAATGAACAATATGGTAATAAATGCATTCTTGCAGACCAATTGGCAAAAGACTTATGTCCAAATCCAATTTTAGCCTTTATTTCTATTTCCCAGAATTTATGCACCAAGATGCAACATATTTTCTATTCAACAAAGCCCCAAGTTGAAAGAGGTGATACAAGAATATCACCTTTATGAAACCGCAGAAAGTACACTAACTAGTTTTCAATGATTTGAAAGTACTTTTAAACTTAACAATTTAGTCATTCATGAGAACAGGTGCCTTGACATCTTTAGTCCTTACTTACTTGTAATTCCACTTCTACTATTTGACCCAAGTCCACAGTAAAATACAAAAGCCAATGAAAAGTAATAGACAGTTCAACTATATACTAGAATGATGAATAATAGTAACTACTCTTCTCTTGTAAGTTAAGAAAAGTTAGTAAGAATTGTTACTAAGATTTCTTTTCTGATAAGGTAAAGACGTTTCTCAAAAATTTTGCCCTGGTTTCCTTGTAACACTGACCACCTAATCCAAAGCTTTAACTACTGTTTCTCTCAATATTCTACTTTCTAATCTAATTTTCTCCAAAAAAAAGAATTCTCTCTGTTGTCTCTGCCTTTCTGATGATGACACTACAAACTGTTCTCTATTCCATAGACAGTGCCCTCAGAAAAATGAAGCTCAGCTCACATCAGAAAAGCACTATTGATTCTGCAGCATACACACACCTGCTTATAATTCCATTAACATGTTCATTAAATTGGCTTGTACACATCTTCTGTATAAGAGGCACCATGCTGGATAATCAGATTAAAGGAATCATCAACTTTTTTAAAAATCAGTATAAGATGAACAACTGCCTCCTTTGCCATGGGACCAGAACACCTAAACTATGACCAGCTACTATTACTGAACATTTTGACCAAAGATTCTACAAAAGAATTCTGTTCAAAAGGGGAGAAATACAGAATAGAATTTCAAATTCCTATGTTATCCAGAGGGAGCTCCGGTAGCATAGTGGCTAAGGCACTTGACTGCTAACCAGAAGCTGGCAGTTCAAACCCACCAGTCACTCCTCGGAAGGAAGATGAGGCAATCTACTTCCATAGTGATACTGCCTAGAAAACCCAAGGAGGGGTCGCTATGAGTTGGGTCTGACTAGACGGCACATAACAACCAACAACAATATGGAATCCAGAATTTCTGGAGACTGGCAAAACCCCCAAAATTAATGTCCTGAGATAATCTTTACATCTCAAACCAAAAATATCCCCTGAAGTCTTCTTAAAACCAAGTAAACAGTTTATGTTAACTAGTAAAGAATATCTGCCTTGAGCATAATACTATTTTAAGGTCTATGTAAATGGAATCAGAGTGAAAACAGCTCCTCAAAAGATCAGACAGAAACCTTAGGAAGCAGTGAGTTAATGTTAATGGGGGAGGAACAACTCAGAAAAGGAAGATAAGAATGGTTGCACAACTAAAAGAATGTAATCAATGTCACTGAAATGTATATGTAGAAACTTGAATTGATATATGTTTTTACTGTGTATGTTCTCCACAATAATAAAAATAAATTATTTTAAAAAATTATTTGAAATAAAAAAAAAAAAAGTATGGGACTATAGCAGAAAGTATAAAGATGAGATGCAAATGAGTTAAGTTAGACATACACTGTGTTTGAGTATTATGGCCCATTAGAGCTGACAACCACATACCCTATCATGTTTTTCTTCGCTTAGTTGGGTTAGAGTGAGAACCATCTGACTCCTGGTTCTTTTATGGGATCTGTTGCTGTTGTTATGTGCCGTTGAATCTGACGCAACTCATGGCAACCCCTCCTTAGGTTTCACGGAGGCAGTTTCGCTACGGAAATAGATTGCCCAACCTTCCGTCCGAGGAGTGGCTAGTGGGTTTGAACCACCAGCCTTCTGGTTAGCAGCAAAGTGCCTCAGGCACTACACTACCAGAGCTACCAAAAAAAAAAAAAAAAGGAGAAGAACCCTATGTCTATTAAACACTTATGTTTGCACTGACTCATCAGAACACAACAACAAGGTAGGTTTATTAATAACCTCTTTTTCTAGTAACCCATATCTAAGGGACCAAGGAAGGAAGTATTTTATCCAAATGATTCATCTAGTAACTGGCAAAACTGGGATTCAAACCAGGCCATGTTCTTGAACACTGGTCCATACTGTTTCTCATGAAACTTAAGGACCACAGGTGACATCCAGAAAGTTTGCCTCTTAGTCCTTGCCAGGAGTTGGGGTCACTGTACTTTAAGTCTAGTCAATGTATAGGAACTGCAAACATTGCCTTGAATGGAGAGGAAATCTCCCAGTTAACCTCATTCCAGGCTTGCATCTTTCAAGGAAAGACAGCATATCTAAAAGCCATTCCACATCTGGAACTCGGCTTTCCTTCCCATTTCCACAGTGCCTCTCCTTGAGTATTTCCAAAGGTTAGCCAGTAACATTAGAAAACCAAAACATAGGAGCAAATTCAGCACCAGAAAAATATATAATACATTTTCACTTAAATATTTAAATATTAAAATATTTAAGCAATATATCCAACATTCTACTAGGTAATGAAGAGAGACAGCAAAGAAGTACAAAATATGACTCTGCCAACAGGACTATACAGTGGCAATCAAGAGGGTCTTCAGGACCCCTTCAGTTCTAACACTCTGGATTTCCAACTACCTGAACTCTTTTGATGACTTTAAAGATCTGCTTACAAATGATTAACTTTATGACAGAAATCTTCAAACTACCAAAGGGTTAAGAGTCCCATTCAAATGAAAATAGCAAATCTCTAAAATTATAATTCCAGAAAATAAATATAAATGTAACTGACAAAAAAAATTGGTTTTTTCTGCTGCTTATGACTGCTTCAGTAAATACCATTCCTAAATACCATTCCTAAGACTAAAAGTACTTAAAAGTCTGTGGTTTTAGTGTACATGTGTAACATGCTTGAATAAGACCAATGAAGTGAAAATAATTTTTAAAAGTTCAATTACTGTGTCCTTTCCAAATATAATTATTGCTAACTGAAAGGATGGCAGTTTGAGTCCACCCAGAAGTACCTCAGAAGAAAGGCCTGGTGATCTACTTTCAGAAAATCAGCCATTGATAACAATTCTATGAAGCACAATTCTATTCCTACAAATATCAAATAGCAACATGGGTGGGTGGGTGTGGGTGCGTGTGTGCGTGTTTCACATCCTATTAAAGAAACTAATGAGATCTATGGATCCTCTATCCTAGAAAATATGCACATGTACAAATACACATGAATTATCTATATAATTCCAGAGATCTCAAATTATAAATCCTGACCTACAGAATGTCTTCACTAAATTTTATGAGTGATCCTATGCAAAGGTTGTATAGAAATAAGTTACATAACCATGTATAGGAACACACAAAAGCACATGCCATCTTAAAAATTAAAATATCTTAAAGGTAATAACTGTACTACCACTGGACATGAAGTAGCCTAAAGATAGGTTTTACATCTGAAAGCCAAATCCCAATTGTACCCAGAAGGATGAAACAGAGAATTCAAGAGCTGGTTTAACTCTTCAGAAATAACCAGACCTCATTTCCCTTAAGTTAGAACCTAGTATGAAGAAATAAGAATGACCCAGCTGGTTTATGATAATGGTCAAACAAGGGAAGAGAAACTTTCCTGAATAACCAAAGCAAATCCTAAAAAATTTTGTAAATCAAAGCCTATCCCTGTATTACAAAAGTTGTTTGGGTTATACCTAGGATGCTAGAGTTATACATAAGATAGCAACTTCAATGTTTTTAAACTTTTAATTTAGTAAAATACCGTTTTTGTCTAATTTAGTTATACTTGCGTAACTTATGCAAGTTTTAAGATATCAAAGTGATGGGTCCCACAACTATTTTAATTCTTCATTTGAATGACAGATCAACTATTTAAGACATCTATAACATACAAAATATTATATATTTTGATCATGTAACAGTTAAAAAAAAAGTCTTACATTATTATTTAAAAGTGAACATACATAAACCAAGCTCTTAAAATAAAAATAATAAAAATAAAAAAAGTGACCATACATCAAGAGTCAGAAACCCAGCGGCCTGAAAACAAAACTATGAACTTGAAAATGTTATAACCTGAAAACTGAGGGGGAAAAGTCTAAACCAAAAGCATTGAAAGTAAAGTTACTAATTTAATCTTGGCTAGATGACTTCTGGAAATCTTCAGTTCTTCTTAAATTACCTGAAGACAGCAAAGTGTGCACAAATTGTTTCTCGAAGTTTATGAATGCATAGATAAACATCTACGCATACACGTGTGAATTATATATATATCTTGACAATAATAACTGTCTACATTCTAAGGCAACCTCACCTATGTTTGCATTCTAATCCAACAAGGAAAATATGATTTGCAAGTTCTGAAAAGATTCCTGAAGAAAAAGTTTCTGGCGTTGCAAACAGAGGCTATAAAAACTCACAGCTTCCCAACTAGTAATTATCAAGTAATAATGAATAATCTAGTATAAAGAAACTCTAAAAAGAAAAAGACACCAAAAACTAAATACTTCAAAGCAAAAATGAAATTTATCTTTAAATAGTTCAAATGAGACAAGCTACAATGCAAAACAAGAGAAATGGATGTAGCCTAACAAAAACCCTAGAAAGGAAAATAAGGTGCAAGTATATCCTCTCATCAGGATGCTTAGAAAACCGTTCACTTAACATGTCAGTTAATTTAAATGAGTTCACATGGCAAAAGCACTTCTGTAAGTTGTCAACTCTCTAAGATACTTAAAATTAAGGTTTAATTAAATTACCACAGCAGGGTCACCAGGTAGTTTCATGAAAGACTCAATATATAAAATCGCATTTAATGAAAGTGAAATAATTAGTTCATTATTTTATTAAAACAGAAAACTATCTTTATCACTCATAAAAAATATAATGGGTTCTATCATACTTACGCTGCATAAGCTTTTGCTATCCTCATGAACATAACCTCATCACCTCCTTTATCTGGATGATATTTAAGTGACAACAAACGATATTGTTTCTTAATTTCTGCTACTGTTGCTCCCTAAAAGGAAAAACTCTGTCACAATGCTGTAAAGAAATAATCCATTCTATTTTGAACTTAAACATAAATTACTCAATATTTTATGTTGACGTTTCATCCCATATGCTTTCTTATAAATTTCATCTCATATATATTAAGTAAAACATAGTTTTTTCATCCAATATATTTGTTGTACTGAGCACCTACTATATGCCATGTAGTATGCTAGGCACTGAGGATTTAGCAGTGAAACCACATAATGTCACATTTACATAAAATAAAAGGATACTGGCATTTAATATCAAAGAATGATCAGATTAAGTGTCACTTAAAGAACCCCTCAAATCAAAGGTTAACTACTTGCTTTATAATCTGAGGAATACCTGGTTTCACCTACTTGTCATAATTTCAATATTAAGTAAACATTGAATAAGTGTACCTGAATTGTTTCCTAATTATTAGCTGGATTGTCCAGGACTCATCAATTTTTTTATGTTACTTACTTTTACCTTGCTTTTTTCAGGGGGAGGGGGAGGTATTTTCTTTGTGGACTATGTTGTGCCAATTGACTTTGATGTCCCCTGAGACTATAGTCCTGAGTGCCCAGGACAAGTGACTCATTCCTTCAAGGTATTTGGTTATGGCTAAGAAGTTTTCATAATATTGCTCCATGTATGCTCTACAATATTCATGAATATATTTGCAGTACATTTAAATACATACGTAGAAATATTCTGTTAAATCTATACATACCTGTGGGAAGTCCCATTTGCCTTCCCATACCTGTTCAGCATGCGTATCTATCTACTCACAGATTACTGTTATTACTATTACTATTACTGCAGGGATGTATGTAAAAGTATTCACCTCTGCTGCCTTTAATCCTTGTGCTCCTCCCAGTGTATTCCTTTGCCTTCAGCATTTTGTACTGACCTCCCTTTTATTACATATTGCCTTTCCTTCACTCAAGTTAATACTTGCCTACCTTCTAGCTAGTGATTGGCCCTTCTTCCTCCCCCATCCTAGTAACCATTAAAGAATTATTTCTTTCTGTGTAAAAACCTTTTCTTGACTTTTTATAATAGTGGTCTCATGCAATATTTGATTAATTTCACTCAGCATAATGTCTGCTGGGTTCATGCATATTATGAGGTGTTTTGCAGATTCATCATTATTAACACTGTGTAGTATTCTACTTTGTGTATGTACCTTAGGTTGTCTCCATCTTTTTACTGTTGTAAATAGAGCTGTGATGAACATGGGTGTGCATATATCTATTCATGTCACAGTTCCTGTTTCCCTAGGATACATACCTACTAGTGGGATTACTGGACCGTATGGTATTTCTATTACCAACTTTTAAAGGAAGCGCCATAATGATTCCCACAGCAGCTGCACCATTTTACAGCCCCACCTCCAGTGTATGAGTGTTCCATTCTCTCCACACCACCTTCACCAGCATTGGCAGTTTTCTGTTTTTTGAATTCTGCTATTAATGATGGAGTGAGATGGTATCTCTTAGTCTCAATGTGCATCTCTCTAATGGGTAATAACTGTGAGCATTTCTTCATGTTTGTTGGCAACTTGAATACCTTCTTTGGTGAAGTGTCTGTTCATGTCCTCTACTCATTTTTGAAATGGATTGTCTGTCCTTTTATTGTTGAAGTATTGAAGTTTTCCATAAATTTTAGTTAGAGAGTAGTTCCTTCTCTAACACGTCATTGCCAAAAATTTCTTCCCAATCTATACATTCTCTTTTTACTCTTGATGAAATTTTTAATGTGCTTTAAGTGTTAAATGTTACAAGGCTAGTCATCTAGTTTGTCTTCTGCTGTTTGTGCAATTTTAATTATGTTTAATATTTGAACCATGCATTAGGTGCCCCAATTTTCTTTTAATGAGCTTTATCATTTTAACTTTTACTCTGATGCATCTTGAGTTAGTTTTTGTATACAGTATGAGATAAAGATCCCATGTCATTTTTCTGCAAGTGGATATCCACTTTTGTCCGCATGATTTGTTAAAGAGACTACCTATTCCCCATTTAAAGAGTTTCAGCCCTTCATCAAAGATCAGCTGTCCAAAGGTGAATGGTTTTACTTCTGGGTTCTCAATTCTATTCCCTTGGTCTATGTATTTGTTCTTGTACCAGTACCAGGCTGTTTTGACAACCATGCTTGTATAGTAGGTTTTGAGATTGGAAAATTTGAGGCCTCCTACTTAGTTCTTATTCTTTAGTAGTGCTTTGCTTATCCAGGGTGCCTTTTCCTTTCCAAATAAAGTTAGTGATTAGTTCTTTCAACTCTAAAGAATGACGACGGAATCTGGATCAGGATTGCACTGTTACCTGTATACTACTTTGGGTAATATTGACGTTTTCACAATGTTAAGTCTTTCTATCCATGAACGTGGTATATCCTTCCATTTCTATGTTTCTTTTGGTTTCTTGTAATAGTGTTTTGTTGTTTTCTTTGTACAGGTCATCTTTTATACCTCAGGTTACATTTATTCCTATTTAATTCATCATTTGGGTAGCCAATGTAAATGGGATTTACAATAATGCAGAAATTAACTAACAATATCATTAATATTACACACACAAGTAAATTTTTGCTGAAAATAATTAAAAAACAGTTGCAGCACTATACTGACAAGGTATTATCAGAAATTCAAACCAGATTAAGGAGAGGATGTGGAATGAAGGTTATCATTGTTGATGTCAAATGGATCTTGGCTAAAGGCAGAGAATACCAGAAAGATGTTTACTTGTGTTATACTGACATGCAAAGGCATTTGATTGTGTAGATCATTAACAAATTATGGATAACACTGCAAAGAACAGAAATTCTGGAACACAATTGTGCTCATGAGGAAACAATACATAGAACAAGAGGTAGTCATTCAACCAGAACAAGGGATACTGCATTGCTTAAAATCAGGAGAAGTGTGTGTCAGGGTTGTATCCTTTCACTGTACTTTTCAATCTGTACACTAAGTAAATAATCTGAACCTGAAGAAGACTACCTGAAGAAGAACACAGCATCAGGATTGGCGGAAGAAGCATTAACAACCTGCTATATGCAGACAACACAACCTTGCTTACTGAAGGTGATGATGACTTGAAGTACTTACTGATGAAGATTAAAGACTACAGTCTTCAGTATGGATTACACCTCAACATAAAGAAAACAAAAATCCTCCAACTTTGGACAGGTTATCAGGAGAGACCATTCCCTGGAAGGATATAACACTTGGTAATGTAGCGGGTTAGCAAAAAAAAAGAAAGATCCTCAACAAGATTGATAGAAACACAGCTAGAACAATGGGCTCAAGCATAGCAACAATTGTAAGGATAGCACAGGATCAGGCAGTGTTTCATTCTGTTGTACATAGGGTTGCTATGAGTCAGAACCAATTCAACAGCACCTAACAAAAACAACAAATTGTAAATGGTATTGTTTCACTATTTCCTTTTCAGAGTTCTCTTTTTTAGTGTAAAGGAGTCCAAGTGATTTTTATATGTTGGTCTCATATCCTGCCACTTTGCTGAATCCTTCTATAAATTCCAGTAGTTTTCTTGTTGAGTCTCTGGGATTTTTCTATGTATAGAATTATATCATCTGCAAATAGAGACAGTTTTATTTCTTTGCCAATTTTGATGCTTTAAAGCTCTGGCCAGAACTTCTAATACAATATCGAATAGGAATAGTGATAAAGAGCATTTCTGGCTGGTTCCCATTCACAAGGCAAATGCTTTCAGTCCCTCTTCATTGAGAATAATGTTGGGTGTTGGTTTTGCATACATGCCCTTAGTTATGCTGAGGAACTTCCCTTCTGTTCCTATTTTGTACAGCATTTCTATCAGGAATGGGTGCTGAATTTTAGCAAATGTTTTCCTGCATTGATTAATATGATCACATGGTTTTTTTTTTTTTTTCCTTTATTTATGTGATGGATTATGCTGATTATTTTTCTAAAGTTGAACTATCCTTGCACATATGGTATGAATCCCATTTGGACATAATATTGTTTTTTTGATATGTTGTTGGATTCTATCAGCTAGGATTTTGTTGAGAATTTTTGCATCTATATCGATGAGAGATCACCCCCCCACTGGGTTTCCAAGGCTGTAAATCTTTACAGAAGTTAATTGCCTCACCTTCCTCCCATAGAGCAACTGGTAGGTTTGAACCGCCAACCTTAGAATTAGCAGCCTTACGCACTATGCCATCAAAGTTCCTTTCATAAAGGATACTGCAGTGTAGTAAATTACATAGTGTGCCTTTTCTAGCGATAAATCTTTGTAAACTCCATGGTGGAATTTGCCATGAGCAACTGAGTAGTTCCTGGTTGTTAAAGTTATCTGCCTGGGGTATTTCTGTTGGAAGTGGCAGAAAGCAATCTTCTGGGAAGTTCCTTCTCTCTCAGGTGTATACAATTCTGATGCTGGGATTGGTTAGTTTGGTCACTCTGCCAGGCTCAAAAGGAGCCCTCCTAGAGGCAGAAGGAATCTCTCACTGCCAGCTGGAAGATGTGAGAGACATGCATTGCTGAGAGAGGAATGCAAGACACATGCACTGCTGAGAAAGAGACTGAGATGTGACACGCACTGCTGGGAGAGAGACACACATTACTGGGAGAGAACTGAGAGAGACTGCTGGCTGAGAGACTGTGGGCTGAGAGAGACTGAGTGTGTTTCTGAACTTGAATTGCAGCCCATTGCTTCCCCAATAAACCCCATAATCTGTGAGTTCTGTGTAGCCACTGCAGTGAATTACTGAACCCAGCAAAGAGGTGGTGGATTCTGTGGGAGGAATGGTTGCTGCCAGGGTTGGTGAAATGGCTGGACAGAAGCAGCATGTCTGGCCTCGCAGGAATAGGCCGTGGGCTACTGATGACAATTCTGTCTTCCTCTTCTGGGATTAGAGGAGGTCAGAAGACATGGCCTCCCTGCCCCTCTGGCAGATACTGTTCTATAATGTTCCTTTTTTGGTGGTTTCTTTGCCTGGCTTTGGTCTCAGCATTACGTTTGCTTCATAGAACGAATTTGGGAGTATTCTACCCTTCTCTATGTTCTGGAACAGTCTGAGTAGAATTGGTACCAGCTCCTCTCTGAATGATTGGTAGAATTGAAACTGTCTGTGCCAGGGCTTTTTTGTTGGATGTTTTTTTTTTTGTTTTGTTTTGTTTTTTAATAACTTGTCCAATTACTTCTTTTGTTAAGGGTCTGTTCAAACTTTCTACCTCAGATTATGTTAGTGTGTTTCTAGAAATCTGTCCATCTCTTCTAGGTTCTCAAATTTGTTAGAGTACAGTTCTTGATAGTATTCTCTTATTATCCTTTCTTTTTCAGTTGGCTCTGTTAGGATGTCACCTGTTTCATTTTCAACTCATGTTATTTGTGTCTTCTCCTTCTTTCTTTGCTAAGTTTGCCAGTGGTTTGTCAATTTTATTAACCCTTTCAAAGAACCAATGTCTAGTCTTATTGATTTTTTCTACTGTTTTCCTGTTCCATTTATTTCAGCTCTAATCTTTATTATTTCCTTTCTTCTCAACTGTATATTTTTTTCTTTGCTGGTTTATTTCTAATTGTTGGACTTGATGGGTTAAGGTGTTGATTTTGGTTCCTCTTTTTTGATGTGTACGTTAATGTGTTATAAATTATTCTCTGAACACTGCTTTTGCTGTGTCCTAAAAGATTTTGATATGTTGTGTTTTCATTTTTGTTTGATTCAAGGAATTGTTTGTATTTCAATTTTTACTTCTTCTATTACTCAGTTTTTAAGCAGGGTTTTATTTAGTTTCCACATATTTTTTTCCCTTGATATACCTTTTGTTGATTTCTAATTTTATAGCATTGTGATCTGAAAAGGTACTTTGTAGTATTTTGACCCTTTTAAATTTATTGAAGTTTGCTCTGAGACCTAACGTGATCTATCCTGGAGGGTGTTCTAGTGTGCTGGAAAAGAATGTCTAGTGTGCTACTGCTGAGTAGAGTGTTCCATACATGTATGTGAGGTCAAGCTGTTTGATTATGTTGTTTAGATCTTCTGTGTTTTTGTTGGGTTTTTAACTGTTCTTTTTGTCACTGGGGCTGGTGTATTAAAGTCTCCTACTATTATTATAGGAGCTCTGGTAGCATAGTGCCTAAGGCACTTGACTGCTCACCAGAAGGCTGGCGGTTCAAACCCACCAGCCACTCCTCGGAAGGAAGGTTGGGCAATCCTACTTCCGTAGTGATACTGCCTCGGAAACCCAAGGAGGGGTCACTATGAGTCGGGGCCGACTCGACAGCAATCAACAACAACAACAACTATTATTATGGAGTTACCAATTTCTTCTTTTAATCCTGTTAAAGTTTGATGTATGTAATTTAGGGCTCTTTCACTGGGTGCATAGATATTATACAGTTAGGTCCTCTTGTTCAAATGACCTTTGATCATTATATAATGTCCTTCCTTGTCCCTTATGCTGGTCTTTGCCTTAAAGTCTGTTTCATCCAAAATTAACATTGCCACTTCTTTTTGGTTGCTGTTTGCCTGATATGCTTTTCCAACTTTCATTTTTAGCTTGTCTGTGTGTCTCTCTTCTAGACAGCATATTCATGGGTCATGTTTTCTTATCCATATGCTACTCTGTATCTTGACTGGTGCATTTAATCCATTTATATTCAGTGTAATTATCAAGAGATATGAATTTACTGCTGTTATCCTGCTGTGTTTTTGTTTGTTTTTTGTGATGCTAACAATTTCTTTGTTCCATATATTTTTCTCTGTTGAGTTCATTCTGTTTATGGATTTTATTATTTCCTTTGTTGCTGCTGTTTTACTACTTACTAGATCTTTAGGATTTTTTTTTTTTTTTTTGGGTGAGAAAGTTTATTAATTTTCTTTGAGGTTACCCTATGACTTATTATTATCTTTCCAAGTTTTAAACTATCTGTTCTATCTTGATATTATCTTGACTTCTTCTCCATGTGAAATGTCTGTAACTATACCATTTATTCCCTCTTTCTGCTTTGTAGTTACCATCATTTAGAAATTGATGTCTCCAGCTCAGGGGGTAAGAGTGCATGGAGGACACAGGGAAGAGGTATTGGGAGGAAGTGGGAAGGGAGCTGTTGCATTGTGGTAACAGTAGTCAATGTCATGAGACAAAGTGTATGTGAACTGTTGTATGGAAGTGAATTTGCTCTGTAAATTTTCACCCAAATCACAATAAAAATTTTAAAATTAAATAAATAGAAGAAATTGGTGTCTCTGGCTTCCTATTTTCAGTCTTGTGGGTTTACCTGAGATAATTCTATCTGGGTTGGTTTCTCGGTGATGCTGCCAGTGTCTTAATCTCAGGCTATTGTCTGTCATTGCTAATTCTCTGTTGAAAAGACTCCCTTTAGTATTTCTTGTAATGCTGGTCTGATTGTTACAAATTCCCTTCCTAATTTCTGTTTCTCTGGAAATATCTTAATTTTGCCATCATATTTGAGGGACCATTTTGCTAGATACAGAATTGTTGGCTGACAATATTTTCTTTCAGGGTTTTACATATGTCATCCCATCACCTTCTCACTTGCATGGTTTCTGCCTAAAAATCAAAACTTGTTTTATTGGTTCTCCTTTGTAGATGACTTTTTGGTTTTCCTGAGCTGCTCTCAGGATTCCTTCTGCCTGCATGACATGTCTTGGTGCTCTTCTTCTGGGGTCTGTCCTACGTGGAATTCACTGAATTTCTTGAATGTGTATCTCTCATCTTTCATATTAGGGAAGTTTCCAACAACTCTGCAACAATTTTCTGTCTTTTTTGTCTCTTTCTGTTCTGGAATTTCAAGTGAATTTAAGTTATTTCTCTTGGTCATATCCCACATAATTCTTAGGCTTTCTTCATTGTTTTCATTCATTTTTCTGACTGTTCCTCTAACAGATTAGTATCGAGAAATTTGTCTTCAATTTTGCTAATTCTGTCTTCCATAGATTCAATTCTACTCCTTTGCTCTTCCAATGTGTTATCGATTTCTGAAATTTTGATATTCATCTTCTGGATTTCTATTGGCTGTTTTTGTATGCTTTTTAATTTTTTATTTATTTTGTCACTCTGTTCTTGCATTGTTTTCATGAATTCTTCTAGAGTTTTGTTTGTGTTTTCCTTGATGTCTTTTATAATCTGTTGAAAGGCCCTAAATATAATTCTTCTGAATTCCTTATCAGGTAGTTCCAATAACATTTCTTCCTCAGGAAAGTCTTCTGGCTCTGTAATTTGGTCCCCTGCTTGAGCCCATCTTGTCTTGTATCACTGTGTGAACTGAGGTTCTCTCTTGTCTCTGATACACTATGGTGTTACTATATTTGGAGTTAATTGATGATTGTATGTTAGTGAGTATTGCCCAGGTTTTCTGCTTTATTATGTTGCATTCTTATGGAATTTAATTGCCCCAAAACCTTTTAATCTTAGAAAAGCTTTCTTGATGACCAAGATCATCACAATAAGAAAAATTAGATGGTATGCAAACTTTTCTTCTAGAAAAACTAGCGGAAAATTATACTCCTTACTTTGTATTATACAAAACTTTGAATCAAGTCATCTACTGAGCAGAGACTAGAAGTAAAAGGAAGGGATTGGTGGGGGGGGAGTGGAGAGAATGCATTAAATTCACTTTGGCCACTAAGCTACAGGATCCCAGAAAAGTTACAAATTTTCCACACCTCATATTTTTCCCTAAAAAAAAAGCTAAATGATCTCTATGATTCATTTCAATTCTAATATTCTCTAACAGACCCAAAAGACTACTTTTCTATTAAGATCCCTCAGTCATATTCAATCAAAAGGGGCACATCCAGGATTAACTCAAATTTCTATGATACTGACCACAACAGTTTTTTAGAAGAGTCCACTCATGACTTAATATACTGCTTAAGTGTGAACCAACACAAGGCTACAAGATTTTTATCATTCAGCTAATTAACATAGACATCCCTCAGTACCTGCAGGGAGTTGGTTCCAGGACCACACCCCCACCATATCAAAATCCATAGATGCTCAAGTCCATATAGAAAATGGCATATTTGCATATAACCAATGCAAACCCTCCCATATATTTTAAATCATCTCTAGATTACTTATAATACCTAATACAATGTCAATGCTATGTAAATAGCACTTTATGCTTCTTCTTAACCTTTAAGGAATTGCTTTGATCACTTTCAGGAATTGCTTTCATCACTTAATTGCATGCTCCCCCATGAATATTTTTTGATCCACATTGGCTGAGTCTGCAATTGTAGAACCTACAGATATAGAAGGCTGACTATATAAATGAAGTCTCTGGTTTTATTTTGCATTAAACCAGTCTTACAGATGACTTTTTAAAAATATGCTAACTTCTTGTCTCATCTTCAGATGTCTTACATTTCAGCAATTACAAATAAAACAGTAATATATCTGTAGCTTGAAAAATACACATTAGAAAAATAATGGATCAGATATCTTACTTTAATCAAAAAACTAACTGATCACAGTCTTGGTTTCTTTAGGCATGACCTAATTCCTTTTATGATGAGGGCCTATTGTATTTTCATGAAATCATTAAACAAGTGTGTATTACATAAAAAAAAATACTACTTACAGGATCCAAATTTAATACTTCATAAGGATTGTATTCTTGATATTCTCGGTCTGTTTTGGAAACTTTGTATGCAAGGAATAAAAACAATGCCCATCCTGCAAGCAGAACAATTTTCCTGTTTAGGAAAAAGATAAGTGAAGCATAAATAAATACATTTGTATGGCTTCCCTTTAAGAGTCTAAAGATATTATGGCAAGATCAAGGCATAAAACAATCTAAATCTCATTACCATTGAGTTGATTCCAACTCATAGCAACCCTATAAGGACAGAGTAGAACTGCAAAATTTTGGGTAAGAAGTTAATTCAACTAACTTACTACGTCCATTAAATTAGATTAAAATGTGCAGACACTAAGTCTTAAAATCATTGAATGTAAAAAAGAATTGCTCTTAACCTAGCAATTCTACTTTTAAGTAAGATAACCTAAGAAAAATAATTAGTCTTAGCCTTGTTTATAATAGTAAGACTTAAGAAACAACTTGAATGTCCATTTATCATGGGCTAATTAACTAAACCACAATATATCCACAATAGGTTTTCAAACCAGATATAAAACATATAATTTGAAATAAAACTAATTTCTTCTCCCTCCAATGTGTTATGGATAGTAAAAAAATATTTAAAAGATATCACCAGTTTTCTTTGTTGGTTACCAGGGGTGGGAGGGGAAGTGAGGAAACACTGTTAGATAGGTAGAGACAAGTATTGATTTGGGTGACGAGAAGGGCAATGTACCTAATGTGAGTAATCAACACAGTGGCACTGAAGAAGAGGAAGACATAGAGAGTTGCATGGGAAGTACAGACAACAAAGATAAACCCTTTCGCACATACAGCATTGTGTTGTCAGTGAAGGCATACATGGATATACAGATGGATAGATGGGTGCACAGGCTAAACTATTAGGTATGTCCATGCAGGGGGGAGTGTGCCCAAGACCATGTATATGGTTGGCAGACAATGTTTCTACAAGTGTATTTGTATGTTCTGTAAGAATTTCCAGGTACATGGTAGAGCTGACAAGGGACAAGGCTGTAGTCACTTCTTGGCCAGAGTCAGCTACCCAGAAGGAGTGCATAGCTGGACCTGTGGGCTCAGAAACACAGTCTCAGAGGACATCAAGCTCAATTGGCATTAGCATACTATACAAAACACTGTTCTACCTCCTACTTTGGTGAGTAGCATGTGGGATCTTAAAAGCTTAGAAGCAGCCATCTAGATGCAACAGTGGGTCTCTCCTCATCCAGAGCAAAGAAGAATGAAGAAAACCAAAGACACATGGAAACAATTAGTCCAAGGGTCTGATACACCATGTGATCCTCAACCTATACAACTATGAGACCAGAAGAACTAAATGGTGCCTGCGTATCACTGTCAACCACTGTGAGGGGGATCTCTGTAGGAGATCTGGATAGAGTGGGAGAACAATGTGGAACTGCAGTGTAATAAATTACTTAGTGTGGCTTTTCTACCCATAAGTCTTTGTAAACTCCAAGATGGGATTTGCTATGAGCAACTGAAGAGCTCCTTATTGCTAAAGTTGTCCACCTGGGGTATTTCTGTTGGGAGTGGCACAAAACAATGTTCTGGGAGGTTCCCACTCTCTCTCAGGTGCTTAGAATTCTGATGCTATGATTGGCTAGTTTGACCACCCTGCCGGGCTCAAAAGGAGGCCTCCTAGAGTCAGAACTCTCTCTGACTGCTGGTTGAAGAAGACGTGCTGCTGAAAGAGACATGCACTCCTGAGACACGCGCTGCTGCGAAAGAGACACAAGAGACACACATTGCTGAGTGAGACACCGAGGGACACACACTGCTGGGAAAGAGACTGTGAGAGACTGTTGGCTGAGGGATAGTGGGCTGGGAGAGAGACTGAGCGTTCTTCCTGAACTTGAGTTGTAGCCTGGTGCTTCCCTAATAAACCCTGTAATCTGTGAGTTCTGTGTGGCCACTGCAGTGAATTATCGAACCCAGGAGAGAGGTGGTGGGTGCTTTGGGAGGAATGGTTGGTGAAAGAGCTGGAGGGAGGCAGCATGTCTGGCCTTATAGGAATAGCCCTTGGGTTATTGATGGTGGCTCTGTCTTCCTATTGTGGGGTTAGAGGAGGGCGGAACATGTGGCCTCCTTGCCCTTTTTGCAGGAACAAAACTCAAAATCATTTAAAAGAAAAAAAGGGACCAGGTTTGCTGGTCTGATAAAGCCTGATGGAATTACTGAGACTATGGCCCCTAGCTGCCCTTCAGATCTGGAATTGAACCCACATCTGTGGCTTCCAGCCAAACAAAAGACAGGCATATGAGCTGAACATTTACATTAGGTAGATACACTCTACCTAATATAAATGAGATGCTATACAGAAGGTGAATTTGCTCTGTAAACTTCCACCCCAATCACAATAATAATTTAAAAAAAGGTATCACCAGTGTTGCAAGAAATGTTAAAAAAAAAAAAGTAACTTTCATAAAATCTACATTCTGAAGGATATCTGACAATAATATATCAAAAGCCTAAAGAACTACATACTCTCTTATCTATTAATCCACCTCTCTTCAAGAAATTTCAAAGAAAATCAGCTAGAATGTATGTAAAAGTGTAAAAGGATGGTTACAGAGATGTATAATGGCAAAAAAGAAAGGGAGAGAGGGACTCTATTAATGTTGTTGTTGTTGTTATGTGCCGTCAAGTCGGACCCAACTCATAGCAACCCCTCCTTGGGTTTCCGAGGCAGTATCACTACGGAAGTAGATTGTCCCATCTTCCTTCCGAGGAGTGGCTGGTGGGTTTGAACTGCCAGCCTTCTGGTTAACAGTCAAATGCCTTAGGCACTATGCTACCAAAGCTCCCCTATTAATGTTATTACATATTAATAGGGTACTGGACAGATCATAGGAACCCTGGTGGCCCAGTGATTAAAGCACTCAGCTGATAACCAAAAAGTCCGTGGTTTGAATCTACCAGCTGCTCCACTGGAGAAAAATGTAGCAGTCTGCTTACATTCTTGGACATTCTATGAGGCAGTTTTACCCTGTCCAATAGGGTCATTATAAGTTGGAATTGATTTGAAGGCAGTATGTTTGGTTTTTTGTTTTTTTTTTTTTGAGACAAGTAAAAAATGAATGATACATCAATATAATACACTTCACTTATCAACTATCTCATTATCTGACAGTCTACATTTATGGTAATAGTAAAAAATCTACTATCCAACTATTTTGCACATCAACAACGTACATCTGGCAGTAATAAATGCCAAGGTAGGAGGTAAGAGTAATACCAGCTGTGACGGTTAAAATAATGTGTCCAGTTGGCTGGGCCATGATTCTCAGTGGTTTGGCAGTTATGTAATGATATGGTCATCCTCCATTTTCACATAATGCCAATTTTCACGTAATGCCCTGGTCTTTGGAACGTAACCATGTCAATAAGTGAGGAGTAGGTGTACTGTCACTAAAAACAGTATTTGCTATAGAAGACTGTCCACTTTGTATTGTTAAATGAAAAGAAAAAAACCATTTTCAAAACTGTATATATAATTCTGCCTTTGTAAACAAAAAAAGGCAATATAAATAAAAGTTCAGTAGGTAATCTTTTCTTTTTAATGGCATAAAATCTTTAATTAAACTTGAATCATTCTGAAGCAATCCTAAAGTAAATACATAAATTTCACATTTTTAGTAGGTAATCATCTTATTATGACCATCATTAGTCACTATCTTTAGATGATTGTTTTGGTTAAATATTGCCGCTCTGACAGAAATATACCACAAATGGGATGGCTTGAACAAACAGGAGTTTATTCTCTTACAATTTGGGAAGCTAAAAGTCCGAGTTCAAAGTGCTAGGTTCTAGGGACTAGGTGAAAGCCCCTTGACCTTGGGCTTCAGCTCTGCTTCTTGCTCCCAGCCCACTGAAGCTGGAAGCTTTCTTCACTCATGCAGCTACTGGCTGCTGAGGCTGACAAACCCAAGGTCAATAAGTGTTACTTGCTGACACAGTCCCAATGTTACCAAACCACATGGCAGGCCATTAATTCAAGTCCACTAAAAGTCACAAGATCAGCAGAGCATGGAAGGCTACTGAATAAAGACTCAGACTGAGCTACATGTCACGTTCAAGTGTGACAAAAAGCTAGGGACCTTCCTCAAAGCTGCTTCTTAAATACTGGAAATAGACCACATCCCCAAAGCAGCTACTCAGCTGCTCCAGTAGATTCCACCATGGAACCGACAGCCAATTTCATCATGGGGAATAACGACACTCAGCTGCCCAGCCACTCAACAAGGCCTAGCCAACTTGACAACAACCTTAACATCACAATGATGAAACTTAGTAATTATTTTCTTAACTCTCTGTATCATTAAAGTTTGTTACACTGAGCAGACATCATTAGAGACATAAAATGAATCTTAGAAGGTTAATCAAACAAAATGGAAAAATAAAAACTTATTTACAGTAAACCTCCAGGAACCAGTTCCAATCTACCTCTTCTTACTTCATCGCCCCAATTTTCTACACAAAACAAATCCCCATCACCCAAAGTTCCCTAAGTTTTTCTCACCATGATGCTTTTGCTCTCTTGGATTTCTCCACCTAGAATCCCCTTTCCCCATCTCTGCCTATCCAAATCCTTCAAGACTCAACTCCAACCTCCAAAAAGCAACCACTACCCATGGTCAATGTGATTAACAGAGACGTGGTTATAGCAACAAAAAGCACAAGCCATGACTCTCACCTTCTAACTCACTGAAAGCTCCATGAGAGCACAGAAGGAATTTTATTCTGTTTTAACTAATCACAGGGTAACTTTAACACACTCACCACACAGATGAAAACTTCTTTCCACTTATTCAAAATAATACCCCAATTTTCATTAAAGGGCATGTAACTTCAACTTGCTTTCTATAATACTATATATGCCAAAATACAAACCCACTGCCATCCAGTTGATTCTAACTCTTGACCGTATTACATCTCAACATAAAGAAAACAAAAATCTTCACAACTGGGTAAATAACCACAACGCATCACAATAAATGGAGAAAAAATTGAAGTTATCAGGGATTTTATTTTACTTAGATCCACAGTAAATGTCCATGGAAGCAGCAGTCAAGAAAT